GTTGCAGGGCTTTTGCTGTGATGGTGAAGATCCCTCTGGAGATGATGCTGGCAAGGCAGGTTTCAGGGGTGGTGGTGTCAAGGACAGATATCAGACTGGGAGTGCTTGGAGAGAAAAAGCCATTTGCAAAAAGGCACCTAGTAAATTCTGCTGGATGCTCAGCAGAGTGGAGGAGAGTGAAACAACTGGGAAAATGGTATCATTGCTCCTGACACCTGCAGTTTTCAGCTGTGTTGCTACTGTATTATTAAGTTGGAGTTTAGAAATTACCGGGCCTATAAAGCTGAAGAAGCATTTTAGAGCAGCGTTTTTGGGGCATCTGCCAAGATACTTAGCCATTGTTCTGATCTAGCTCAACTTTTGAAAGTATTTTCTTTGTGTACCTGTCTCAGGTGTCAGAGTTCCTTGTTATAATAGACCAGTTTTTAGAATGTTATGGCTAAAGATAGAAGATACCCATTTTTATTTGAAAATTAGGTTACAAATGGAAGTCAGTTGAAAAGTGACTCCAGATTTCTTTGAATATACAATATTTAATATAGAGTCCATATGTATTTTTAGGAAGACTTTCATCCAGATGTGAGCATATTGTTAGCCATCCCTAATTCAAGTTTTCTGTCAGATGGCTGCTTTCTGGGACAAGAACTTCAGACAAATTTTTAGTGGTTGTAAGAGCATAGAGAAACTGTCTAATGTTGGGGAAGAATGGAGCTAACCCAAAAGTTCATTCAGAATCTAAATTGGGTCAAAATGTATGTGTTTAAGCAGTGAAAAAGATATATTTTTTTTTGTGGGTGTCTGATGAAAATGAAGCTCTTTTTCCACTATCTGGCAGCCAGAGCATACACTGAAGAAATAGTGGAAACCTGCATGGTGCTAATGCTTGCAAGAGTCCCAGTTCAGTTTGCTGACACAAGACACTGTAGAAGGTCGCAATGTTTGCACTGGCCTCCCTTTGCTAATTACTAATAGTTGCTTTCAGCTTTTTAAAAGAAGGCAGTAATTAGAACTAGAGAAAACTACCCTTAGAATATTTTGTTAGAGGGTGAAAATCTTGTTGAACTGAAATATTTGCAAATTCAAATGGGCTTTATTTGAGTTAAGATTGGAAAAATTGTTCCGTAGTAGTGAAACACTAACTCTGTGGAAAAGAGCTTTGATTACATTTTGATTTTTTTTCTCCCTCTAATGACTTCTTTGTTGTGTGATACAATTAGCATTAAGGTCAAATTGAAGCAAAAAAAACTTTTCCGTCAAGATCCCATTGTGCATATCTTCACAGTTTTTGATGCAAGAAAACTTACAGATTTCAAAACTCTCTGAAATTCCTTGTGAATTCTTCTAAGTCTGAGCTTCTGCTTCTCTGACAGTGACGCTAGTGCTGGAGAGCTGATATCATTAGGGGGTATGAGTGTAGTAGTGAAGGGAAGGAGTCAGTATCATTCAGAGAACCTGCATGTAACCCGTACACAGAGTTCACTAAGTTTTGCTTTCTGACTCAACAGACAGAGCCTGAGCACATGCTGAAGAGCAAATAAATTTCACATGTACATTGGGCTAATCGCAGGTAAGTGTAGTGATGTACTTAGTCATACCTTCCAAATATAATCCTATTAGCAGTCTGATTTAGACTAATTAAATCAATCTGTTTTACACAGGAAATCAGTCCCACTGATTCAGTATGTCATTCTAACTGAACAAGAGTGTGCATGTGTGTGTAAACACATTTATTTCTCTAAATCTTCATTTTAGTAAATTGAGTTTACCTTTTAAAGGCAAGGATCAAATAGAAATTGTAGGGACTGAAATGGGAATGTCAGCTTCAGAACGATTTGAATCTGTTCATTATATATGGATTTTTGAGTACTTATTGTCATGTTTGATATAGTGATTCTCTTACCCTTTGTCATAGACCTGTGATAAATTTCTGTTGTTTGTATCTCATTGAACTGCAATATATTCTTAATTCTAAAACTGTTTGTATTGATCAGTACATTCTGTAGTAAAATAATATTGTTGGATTTTGCTCAATGTTAAATATATTTTGCAGTTGGATTTTTTTGTGCTATTTATGCCTTGGGAGGAGGAGAGGGAGCCAAGTATAGAGGAGCTACACGTTCTCGACTTGTATTTTGTGCAATTTCTCTTCTTTCTTTTGGCACTTTGTGCTTTACGCGTCTGTCTAATTCAATTCAGTTTTTTTGAAACCAGAGTGCTTCGTTCTAACTGCAGATAAATTTGACATTGTTTCTTTCTGTTTCACTCCTGTGTATCTTTATTCTTGAGTTTTTTAAATCCTGAAAATAAATGTACCACTTGAGTTAATCATCTTACTATGTGTTTTGTGCTGTTGATTATTTTGATACACAAAGATTAAGTTGCGAGTCAATTACACTGAGTTCAGTTATTTTTTTTATGTGGTGCAGAATGGTGTCATTAAGAGAATCTATAAACCATTTTAGGAGGTGCCATACCTTGCAGTGTTATTTTCCCTAGGGAGTCAGACCTTGGGCAACATGCTTATTTTTTAGAATGTGCTGGGAACTTCTTTGTGGGAGTAGTAGTGTAGAGCGGTTAGGGAGCTGTATACTTGCACTCGCATACATATGCAGTTGTATCTCTGCCTGAAAAAAACAGGGGTAAAAGCATGCTAATGCATGGACCAATTATATCTTCAAAGGCAAGCAGGTATTTGTGTAGCCTCTACTGCTGTAATACAGTCCATAATAACACTCCATTTGGAAATGAAATGATGATAGCCCCCAAAGCTTGGGTTAATGTTGCGTGCTGCTTTACCCCATTGAGATCAGCCAGCCCCTTCTTCGGGTTACTTTCAGCTTTCAACTGTTTTGAGAATGTGGGTGTATCTGAGTGCACGGGGCAAAGGAGGGGGAATGGATAACCCTGGTTCCCTTGCTTGTTCAGACAGTTGACTGGCAGCCAAAAGGTGCTGTGTTTGTGGAGCTAAAAGTCCTAAAGGTAGAGATGGGAGTTCATATTTCTGTCCCTACCTACAGTCTTTGGCTTGTAACCACTTACCTGAAGGACGGTCTGACTAGATTAACAGTCAACTAGATAGCCAACTGATTTAATGACCTGTCTGAAATGCATTGTAGGAGAGGAGTATGCCACTAGTTTTTGTGGAATTCGTATCTGTGCAACATTATGACTAATAGCATAAGGTGCCAGTATGTAAAAATGTTAAATAGCTTGCAGTAGCCATATTACTTTTTTTCACTCTGTGTACTGTTTCCCCCAGGTCAAGGATCGCATACCTTGGAGGGGATTTTGGGTGCAAGGGTGAGTGGGCTTTCATCATATTGCTTACCTGGAAGGTTTGCTGGATTTCGGTGTCCATGCTTCAGTCTGCTATTCAGGAATGCTCCACATGTGCACCCACACACATGCACGTTTTACAAAGCATATAATGAGACTGCAAAAGCTAGATGCTTGTTCTGCAACAAATTTATGCCATGGCCTTTGCAGAGTTTCACTTTTGCCTTAAACCTGTGGCTAGCTGTTTAAACAGAATCATTTCTGAAATAGATGTGGCGTAATATTTTCCTCTTAGGAGATACTGCAGCATTTACATGCAGATTTTTAGCTGTGAAGGATAAGCTCTTTCATGTTGTTTGGAGCAAAGCCAGCTTGAAACTTGGCGTATGTTGCCAGCTGCTCTAATTCCACACGTTGCCGGAAGGTGAGCAAAATGCTTGGCAGGCTCTGGGAGTTAAGTAACGCCTATTGTTGTTGACTCTTCTGATCACTTTTAGGTGACAAAGCAGTTATTTGCATAAGACTAAAAAAAAGTGTTTGACCAAAAAGCCCAGCTCTAATTTAAATGCAGTACCTGGGGTTGGTTTGTCAAGGTCTTAGGAGAGCAAATACAGGAAAAACAAACCAAGTGACTTTGAACTGGTATTTGTTACTAAGTTCAGCCACATTTCTCAGGGATCCAGGATTTAATGTTTGTTTCTGCTCTATGCAGTTGCTAGCGGTGTGAGCACCTGAAGTTGAGAGGAAGGGGAATCTATTTTCTGGGGAAGAAAATGAGTGACCAGGGTAATTAACAGGTAACTCCCAGTACAGGTAAATTGTTAAGATAATAATGCTTAAAATCAACTTGCTCTGAATTTAGAGAGACTTACTTTAATTTAAAAGCAATGTTATATTTCGCTTAGAGAATGGTTGTCTCTTTCTGTATTCTGTCTTAGATATCTGTATCTACAGTAGAAAGATAGTTTGGGGATAAACTGCAGAATGATGCAGGATCTGCTTGAGAGAAAATATACTGTTAATGAATGGCTATATAGTTTTATAGCTGTAGATTGAAGAGAGTTCAACATCGATGAGTAGGTACTCTTTCTTTCAGCAGCCAGTGAGAACAAAGACTGTCTTGTGTGGGAGAGTTAACGTCATCGTAGTCTCCTGAGTTAGGAGTTTAAAAAAAAAAAAAAAATCATTATAATTATGTACTGGCTGAAATTCCATGTGCTTGCGAATTAATTAGTATTAATGGAGGAGTAAATTCTTCTTTTAAACTTTGCTTTGCGATTTTGCTTTTTGTAGTTAAAAACAAACCGCTTGTAAAATATCATTGCTTATGCCCAACTTCTAACTTAAAAGCAAAATTAGTACTGAGGCTTTTGTGCTGCCATATCTGTAGGGAGGAGCCTCTTTGTGGAGGAAAGGAAGTGAAGAGTGGTACCTTAGGCACTGGTGTACCCAGGTGGCTAGTCAGACTGTAGTTGCGTAAAGCGGAAATGATATGATGCAATAACATCATAGACTGGCACTTTATAATTGAGGCAAACACCTTCAGGAAGAAACTTTGAAAGAGATCTGGTGACTCAGGAGATGTTTATGGAATGAGTTAGTCTTCATGCAAAGACTTGCAAGTTTCACTGAAATGACTGAAAAATTTGAGAGATGCTTACAAAGC